CCTGAAGCGGGGGGAAACGGCGGCTTTGCTAAGAGGGATCTTCAAAGGTGAGTCAGCTCTGGGTTGTGCTTTGGGGAGTGGGTCGGGAGGGAGCCTGTGGCCCCAGCCCTGCTGATTGCCCATGAGCCGGTGAGTTATAGACCAGCTGGGTGAAGTAAGTAGTCAGCAGCACAAGGAAGTGTCACTTTTGGTAAAAAGCAGCCAGTCAGGGCTGTCACTGGGAAGCATGACATCTGAAAATAGAGATAGGAAATATGAAACCAGACCAATATGTTTGTAATGAAACTGTTGTAAGTGGGCTTTACTTCTGGGAGACCTTGGGCACCTTGGAGTAGAACTGAGCTGGCCAGCTGAGACTTAATTGCCAAGCTGGTTCTTCTCAACAGTTGTGACACTTCCTGATCTGGGGCAGCAGGTTGGGTGAACCACAGGCTGTGACAGCAGAGTTGAGTGCTTTGGCTGTTTTATCCAAGAGATTCTCATTTCCTGTGCTCTGGTTTTTTTATCTGTTTTGTCAGATGGATGAAATAGGGAATTATGATCAGGTGACAGTTTAGCCCTGCTAATTTCCTGTTGTTTAGCAACATGTTTTTAATTGTAGAACTTTTTTTTTCCATTCTTTGTTTTCTTTATTTCCTTATTATAAGGCTCCCCTTGTTCCCAGCGAAGTGGCGTTCTCAGGAGGCTTCAGGTTTACAAGTACTGCATTCCGCTAGTGGAATCAGGGGATCTGCATTTGGGCAAGGTGTCTGAAATCATAGGACTGCTGATGCTGGAGGTAGAAGCTACTTTGGGCTGGCTTTCCTGGGGTCTACTGGGTAATGTTTTGTATGTAGATTAAGATACTTCACAAGGCCACTGAGGAAAATGAGTTGTGTCCTTTCAGTAGATCTACCCCGGAATAAGTTACTGGTGTTGGAATTTGCTGTGTGTGTACATGTGATTATCTCTGCATAATTATACTTAGACCCGAAACTCCAAACCTATAATTATATCAACTTGTTTTAATGCTCTGTTCTATAAATGACAGTATAACTGTCTTGGGGGTGAATTCCTCTTTTAAGGGAATGTTTCACTGTAAGAAATGTTGTCCTTCACTTGTTTCTGGTGATGGTTTTGGTGTATGTGAAATTCTCCCGTGCGCTGCCTCAGGCTCTGTCATGTTGTATTTTCTTCCAGGCTCGCCTGCTGCCAGGCCATGCGTTGGCTGAGCTTGCCACCCTGTTTGTTGATGTTATTAAAAGCGGCAGCCTATCTAATGGGAAATCCCTGGAGTTGTTTTCCACTGTTCTCACTGCATTGGCTGGCTCAAAGGAGAGCCTGGCTTATGGGAAAGGTATCCCCTCTCAGTTCCTTCTCCCCAGCCCATCCTCCCTTCCTCTGGAATCAGCTCCTGAAAGACTTTTGCTTTTTCAGGTGAACTGAATGGCGAAGAGTTTAAGAAACAGTTGATAAATACCCTCTGCTCCAGCAAGTACGTATGTCTCCTCCAGCTCTTAGTTACACAGCAAAATAGTGTGCTTCATGTTGTGCTTTGAAAAAGACGTAATGATGGGCTGGATGTCACCGTCTGTGTCCTGTTCCATCATCTTAGAATCTGTGCCCTCCATGACAGCGTCTTCTCTGGCTGGGAAGGCAAGGGAACACCGTGTTCCCAGATCTTGTAATAGTGTTGCATGACTTGGTCTTAGGAAGTGTTTGCTTTTATTCC